TATTTTTTATTTATGTTTTTATATTTACAGGCAATTGAGCATAGATAGCATATACACGTAGGATATCTTTGTAATGACTGCTAGTCTCCAACTTTTAACTGGAATGTGTAGACCAATAGCACTTGAATTAACATTAATAGGGTTAGATTCGTGTCTACCCTCTTACTCTTCGTTTTCTATCTGTCTGTCCTTATGATTGTGTTCTTGTTTTTAATTGTAGGTCAGTTGAATGCTTAGGGTCCCATTTAAACTTACTACGTTGGTGGCTGGAGAGATGACATACTGCTTTGTGGAGGAGCTGAGTTCAGTTCCCAGCACCCACATTGGGTGGCTCACAACTGCTCATAACTCCAGCTCCAGGGGAATCCAGTGCTTCTGATTTTCACAGTGCATTCTCATGTACATCCCACACAGAGGCATACAGACTCTAAAACAAAATAAATAAGAATCTTTACATTTACTACTATGTTAGGAGTTTGGCTAAGACTCCACATTAAAAGTTAAGCTCAGTGTTTCCTGTAGGAATTACAACGTATGTACGTCCTTTCATAATCTGTTGAGTTAATATCTGCTCCTGCTTAAATGTAGAAACCTCACAAACTCACAGATTCCTTCCGTCTCCTACCACCTGACTCTTACATTATAGCTTTGGATGTATTTGTCTACATATAGTCTACTGAAAGACTTGCCAAATATTGTTAACATTTTGCTTTAAATGATTAAAAAAAATTTTTTCCCAAGCTATTTGTACAAGCACACATTCTCTCCCTTTCTGAGACAAGGCCTTGCTTAGAAGTTTCCTACTTCTTGTCACCTTGAAACCCAGACACATCAAGTATATTTTTATCACATTTTTTGTGCGTATATGCATGTGTGGGTAGCAGAGCACATGTGTATAGGTCAGAGGGCAGCTTGCAGGAGTCAGTCCTCTCCACTGTGCAGATCCTGAAAATCAAACTCCGGTAGTCATGTTTGCCAGTAAGACACCTGTACCTGCTGAGCCATCTTGCTGGCCCCCAAACACATCAGTTTCGATCTACCCCTTCTACTGTTTGTCCTTGTAGGTTTATGACTACCTCATAACACAGAGATGTATTTAGTCTAACTTCAAAAGTTTCTGCACTCTTATTACAATTCCAGTGCTGCTTAAAACATCTAAGTCTCTTCTGACATTCCAGGGGATGTCTTAACTCTGAGCTTCAGTATGATTAAAAACTAGTTACATACTTAAAATATAAAGGTATACAAAGTAAACATTCCTAGTCTAAAGAGGAGAATGAGAGCATAGCAATGATCAGACCAAGACAAGACTGAAATCCAGCCGGGCAAATGCCAAATCCTGAAATCTTGCTGTGTCTAACATCTTGGGCTCATGAAGGAATCTTCTGGTTCCAGAGGGCTTGAGTGGCTTCAGCTCTCCAGCTCTCCCATCTGTAGCACACACATCCTTGAGCAAGCTCTATTTCATGCCTCTAACTCTCCTCCCTGGAAATCCTATGGTCCTGGCATCTTCAGCATCCTGTGGTCTCCACTTCTTCACTTTCACAGCTTCACACAGTGGCTTCAAGGGGCCTCCTTACAGAGAGTTCGACCCTGCCACACACTGCCAATTTCAGGGTGGGTCTTCCCACCTTGGTGAACCTACTCAACACAATCTTTCACAGTCATGTCCAGGCAAATCTAATCCACATAGTTTCTCAGAGGTGTGTCCTCACATGAGTCTCCATCCTGTTGAGTATAAACTCTCACAGTTAGCTTACAAAAGACCAGGAGTGGTTACAAAAGATGGCTCTCTGTGTAAACGTGAGGACTGGAATTTGGATTCCCAGAAACCCCCAGAAAGGTTGGATGAGCTTGGTAGCCCACGTGTAGTTTCAGCCTTAGAAGTGGAGGAGATGGGATCTCCAGAGCAAGCTGGCCAGCAAGAATAGCCCTATCAGCTAACTCTTGGTTTGACTGAGAGACCTTGCCCCCAGTGAATGAGGTGGAAAAGCATATGAGGACCATTCCTCCATATGCATGTGCCCACATGTGCAACCCACGTACACGCAAAAAACGACAAAAAAGTGTACAACACACACACACACAAAACAAGGAAAAAGGAAAACAACTGAGTTTACAAAATAGACTTCTATATGGCGTTTTCATACACCCTTAATCTCAATGAATACCCTGTTCCTCTCATTTCCCTACCCATAGCCAGCGTGAACCTTCCCACCTCCAGTAGCCTTCTCCGTTTCTTCATTCTTCCAATCCAAGTCTCCCTTTTGTAGCATTTTCTTCCACGGGAGAGAAACTTTTAACTGAAGCTAGAATTCTGAATTGACCGACAATTTTTTTCTTCAAGATTTAAAAAATAGTGTCACATGGCTCTCTGACTTCCTTGTTTCTCTTGGGCATCCGTGATCCTATGAGTCACAGTTCCCTGTATTGTAAAATGCTCTTTCTGAAGCCATGCTCTAGTTTTTTGTTTAAGACTTGTTTTTAACAGTTTCATTAAGATATACATAGCTATGCTTTCTTTCTTTCCTTTTTTTTTTCTTTTTTTTTTTTTTTTTTTTGAGTAATGATACAGTTAAGTATAGAGGTGACCTTCACTTACATTGTATTAAGGTGTGTCTCTCTAGCAGTGAGCTAAACACTTATAGATTCTGGTATTGCTGTTGAGGAATCTCCTGCCTCAGTATTGTGTAAAAATTACTGTCCAGTTATCTCTGATTGGTTAATAAAGAAGCTGAAGAGCCTATGACTGGTCAGAGGAGACAGTAGGCGGCACTTTCATTCACATGGAGGGAGGGAGAGAGGAAGAAAAAGCAGCAGTAGCAGCAGCAAGTGAGCGAGGGAGGGGGGAAGGAGAGGAAGAAGGTTGCCCAGGCCATGATTAGGGCACCGCCATGTGGGAGTCACTATGGGGACAAGGATGGAGCAGAGGTGACCAGGATGAGAATACATGGCAAGTGGCATGGGGCACGTGGCTGGGAGGTAACCAGTCTGGCATAGACAGAATAGATGAGAATCTGCCCATTTAGGGTGCTTGAAGCGTATTAATAAATGTGACAGGTCTCCAGAGCTGGCATAGAAAAAAAAAAACACATTAATTCTGACAGTTAAGCTTCTCCAATCTTTCAATTTATGTCTGTTCCCAAATTTAGGGGCATTTTTAAAACCAATTTTTTTTTTCCAAATGTTTTTGTTAAGGTGTGTGGAATCTATATGCATACATGGGAAGGGGTGTTGGAGACTGATGTGCTTGTCTTCCTCACTTATTTTCCACCTTATTTTTTTTTAAATGTGGGGGAGGGTTGCTAAAGAAATGGCTGAGCAGTTAAGAGTGCTTGTTGCTCCTGGCAGAGGACCCGGGATCCAGTCGTAGCGCCACATGGTAATCACCTGTAACTCCAGCTCTCTCTGACTTACACAGGTGCCATGCATACATTGATGCATATACATACACATAGGCAAACATTCAGACTCAGAATAAAAATCTAGCAAATTTGTTGCCATTTGTATTTATTTTATGGTGTATGTGTGTGTGTGTGTGTGTACCCATTTACCACCCTTGAGCAGATATTAGAGCATAGCCTGCAAGAGTTGGGTCTTTTATTTATTTATATTAGATTATTATTATTATTTAATTTCTCTGTGTAGCCTTGGCTATCTTGGACTTGCTTTGTAGACCAGGCTAGCCTTGAACTCATGGAGATCCTCCTGCCTCTGCCTTCCAAGTGTTGGTATTACAGGTGTGCACCACTTTGCTGGGCTGGGCCTTTCCTTTTCTTATGTGGGTCTTGGGGCTCAAACTCAGGTAACTGGGCCTGAGAACTCAGAACTGCTATGCTACCATATGTTGAGTGACTTAGAAGAATGTGTGTACTTTCCAGTAATCTATCTCTCTTTGTATCATTCTATCTTTCTACCTTCCTTCCTTTCTCTTTCTCTCTCTGTCTTTCTCTTTTTCTCTTTCTTTCTTTCTTTCTTTCTTTCTTTCTTTCTTTCTTCTTTCTTTTCTTCCTTCTCTTCCTTTTCTTCTAGAGAGGGTTTCTCTGTGTAAAACTGGCTGTACTGGAACTCACCCTGTAGACCAACCTGGCCTCAAACTTGCCTGCTTCTGCCTCTTGAGCACTAGAATTAATGGTGTGTGCCACCACTTCCTAGCTAAGCAATTTTTGCTTAATGACCAGTTTGATTTAGAAATCCGGGGGCCTGGAGAGTTGGCTCAGAGGTTAAGAGCACTGGCTGCTCTTCCAGAGGTCCTGAGTTCAACTCCCAGCAACCACATGGTGGCCATCTATAATGAGATCTGATGCCTTCTTCTGGCATGCAGGTGTACATTCAGACAGAACATTGTTTACATAATAAATAAAAATCTAAAAAAAAAACAAAAAACTGAATCCAAATATTTATCAGGATTCTCTAGACACTTCACTAAGACAAAATAGCATTGTTCTTAAGCTATAAAAGCTAAGGGTTGTGTTGCATAAGTAGGACAGGGCCCCGTATCAGTGTTGGGAAAGGGAGATGGAAGGAGGAGGGTGGGTCAGGCCGGAATCCACAGACTGTTGTTTTTCTCTGTGCTGAGAAGCCATTTGATAGTCCTACTATCAGATAGACAGGACAAATGAGATACATGGTTATACATTCAAGGAACATTTGGACGGTCATGTGGAACCCCAGCACTTTTCCTACTCTCTTTTCTCAGAGTAGTCTGGGAGGCCTGCATTCCTGAGTGGCAGAGGGATCGGTTCTATAGCCTGCTTTCTCTGTCTGATTGCACTGGATTTAAGAGTTGTATATGCTGTGTTGACTTAATAATTGTTAGGATGTTCTAAGCTATGCTTTGTTTTTGTGTGTACGTGTTTTGTTTTTTGTAAACAAAACAAAAACCAGTCTTCATAGTTTTGCACAAGTCATTAACTTGGTTGTTTTTTACAATGTGAGAAAAATTAATAGGAAATTTCCCCAGCTTCTTTTCTGTGGTGCATATCTCTGTGTTGTGTCAGCAGCAGGACCCAGTGCTCCATAAAGGACAATAGCTTCCAGTACACTATCCCTCATGATGACTCCTTGAGTGGCTCCTCATCTGCCTCCTCCTGCGAACCAGTGAGTGATTTCCCAGCATCCTTCCAGAAATCTACCTACTGGATGAAGATGAGAAGAATCAAGCCTGCTGCTACTTCACAAGTTGAAGGTATCTGTTTCAGATTCTCAGTTCGAAGACAGAGATGTGTGTCTGATGTGTTTGATGTTTCACTGTCATGTGATTGTTTGTCATTCGTGATTAGACAAGATTTTGTTTGAGACAGGCTTTTCATCATGTGAAAAGCCAGCTCAGGTTGGCTTTAAACTCCATGTCTAGTTCAAGCTAGCATTAAACTTATGATTCTCCTGCATCAGCCTCCAGAGTGTTGGAATTATACTACAACCAGCGTGATTAAGCAGATGTTTAAAAGTCAGGCTGTCACATACTGTTAACTTCATGACTCTCCTTTTGTCAGTAGAGTGAGGTTCTACCAATGCTACTTAGCAGCAACCTCCTTCTTCATGGGGTTTGACCTTCTTTTTCATATTCTTTTGTTTTCCTCTGCTTTTGAGGATGTGGGGCTGGGTAATAGGTCATCGTGGTAGTGTGTGCTAGAGGGTCAGTCAGTGATTCATCCTCATCTCTGTAGAGTTCTGTTTTTGTAGGCCTACGTCATAGTCAAGAGAGATGAGTTTCATAGGCCCTTAAGCATAAGGAAGATCTGATGGTTTCTGAGGGAAGGCACTCTAAAAGGAAGAGGGAGGCTCTGTGGGTTAAAAACCAAGTGGCCCCAAGTTTCTCTGAGCTGTTCTGTGTGGTGACCCGTGCCTTTGGTAGTATTGTAAGTTTTTGAAGGCAAGCCCAAGTGTTCATTTACAGACTGTTGTGTTGTTGTGCGGAATGTCAGGCGCAGGTGCAAAGGAAAAGGAAAAGGCCAAAGGAAAGAGGAAAGTCAAGCAGGAAGAAGATGAAGACTACCACGAGCTTCCTCAGAAGAAGCACAAGCTGTATGGTAGGCCCCTTGCTGCCTGTCCTCCAGTGGGAGACTGAATGGTACCCTTTAAAGCTGGAGGAAAAGAGCCTTTGCTTTGATAGCTTGATTGGCTTTGGAGCCCCTAGAATTTGAGTGAAGGAATGGCCGTCACCCGCCCTCTTGTACCCTTTACCCTTTCGATCAGTCCTGTAGGAAGGTCAGTTGGCTGAGGGACTGGGACCTGGTTGCTGAAGAGTGGGGAAGAGTGTTTGTGGAGCCGACAGGTCAGGCTTCAGGTTTCTAAGTTTCCAACTTATGCAGGGAGGAAGCAGCGGCCTAAAGCTCAGCCTCACCCCAAACCCCAGGCTCGTCGGGTTCGGAAGGAAGTACCAGTTTATGCAGCAGGTATGCTTCTCTGTGAATATTTGTGTTGTTTCTGTGAGGAGTGATGTCCTGGACGAGGCTCTCACTTTTCCCTCCTCCCTCCCTCTGTCTGTGGGGAGTTGAACCCATTACTCCGTTCATGAGGGCCAGCTTTCTACCACCAAGCCTCCTCTGCAGTCAGTTGAAGCAGCAGTTGCTGCTGGTTTGGAGGTCACATAGACCTCTAAGGTTTGGCACTTTATGCCGGAGCTGCCTCAGTCTGTTCCCTTGTATAACCCTCGGTTTCCTTGTATGTAAGGAGACAAGGAATACTAGAACTATGAAATTTAAATGACATAAAAATATTTAGTATAGCCTCACACACGTATGAAAAAAAATCTCAATGATTTTTGGATATCTCGATATCTCTTTCTTAGATCATGGTCTGGAAAGTGGTGCCCAGTTCTGACTCACTCCCCTGGGTTTTGGAGTGAGTCTCAGATGGGTTTTTTTTTTTTCATGGGGCACTGGGTAGAAGCTCCCGAAACTCTACAGTGGATGGAAACAAGTGATGTTTGGAAGTTGTATACTGCTAGAGTCTATTCTTCATTATCCACCAAGACAGATCATTTCACAATACTTGTACTTGATTGTAGACTTAAGCTTTTTGTTTCTGAAGAATACTGCAGATTACAGTGTCCTGTTCTTTCCATTGTAGGAAGTATGGAGGAAAAATGGTACTTAGAAATCATGGATAAAGGCAGTGTTTCCTGTCCTACGTGCCAGGCAGTGGGGAGAAAGACTATAGAGGGTTTAAAGAAACACATGGAAAACTGCAAACAGGTTAGCTATTTTGCGGCATTTCATGACTGTTAGGATTTTTTTTTTCCCCTAAACTCCAGACTTCCAGTACTGTGTGAAATCTGTTTTAGCTAACTAGGGGTAGCATTGTGCAATAGAGAAAGCATAGACTTACATGTACAGGTTTGGGTTTACATGTTTATTTAATTGTACTGCTAGTTGCATTTTTAATGTGTGGACCTTGGTTTCTTTTCTTAGAATGAAGAAGAAATAACAACTGCTTTGGTGTGTTTGTTGTTTGTAAGTCACTGTGACCAGATACCTGGCCTAACCAGCTAACGGGACAAGTTCACTTTGACTCAGGGTTTAGGAGGGTACAAGCTCATCAGTGACCAGGAAGGCTTGATGGCTGGAGTGTCTCCTCTGTAGGTGCCAGGAATTGTGCCAGAGCCTCTCACATGCCAGTTGAATCACAACACAGAACAGGAGGGAAACAGGGCTGTAGCCTATGAAGACCCACTTATAAGCCACCCTCCACTGTTACCCAGAGCCCCTCCTAAAGATCCCCAAACACTGACCCGGTATTCCACACAAGAGCCTGTGGCCAGCGTGAGATTCAAGCCACAGCTCACAATGAGAAAAAAGTGACATACGCTGGTACCTGGCCCAGCTGATGGCATTTAGTGACTTTCTGTTTCTCCTTGGAACATTCTGGCACTGAGCACCGACTTTTTTCCTTTCAGGAACTGTTTACTTGCCATCATTGTGGGAAACAGCTTCATTCACTGGCAGGAATGAAGTATCACGTCATGGCCAATCATAATAGTTTGGTAAGAGTTTCCTGTGTTTTTGTGAGCCCATGTTATGGTTATATATACACGTACGCATACGTGCGTACATATATATGTACACATATACTTACATATACATACAAATGCACACATATATATTTATTTAAAAGGAGTGGGTTTTTTTTTTTTTCTTCTCAATTAATTTATACAAAGGATGTGGGGAAAAAGGAGTCTTTATCCATTGGTGGTGGGAATGTAAATTGATGTGGCTGCCATGGAAGCCAGTGTGGAGGTTCTCTCAAAAAGCCAAGTCATAGAACTGCTGTATGACCCAGTTACATTATTCCTGTGCATATAACCAAAAGACTGTAAGACCCCCTACCACAGATACGTGCACACCCACGTTTATTGCTGTATAATTCATGAACACCGAAAAATTTATGTGAAAGCCTTCTATCCTCCCTTCCCCTTCCTCCTTCTCCTTCCTCACTTTTCACCCTACAGTCCAGGTTAATTGGATTTCATAAGCCCAGAGTGCCCATGAATTTGTAGCAATCCTTCTGCCTCAGCTTCCTTATAGCATGAGCCTGGTTTGGTTGCTGTTTGTTTTATTTTGAGCTAGGCTCTATTGTGCCCCTGGCTGGCCTCAAACTCCTTGTGTAGCTGAGGTTGACCTTGAACTCCTAATCCTACTATGTCTCCTTCTCAAGTGCTGGGATTACAGATATGTGCCACCACACCTAGCTACCTGTGAGGATTTCAAGTGTTTAGTTAACATGTAAGAATATCCAATCCATTGATCATCAGGAAGATTAATATTAAAGCTATGTCAAGGAGCAGAGCAGATGTTAAAAGGCTTTACAGTGCACAGGCCTGTATAGTTCCAGCTCTTAGAAAGCTGAGACAGGAGGATTGATAGTACAAGGCCATCTGGCTGGGCTATAGAGTGAAACCTTGTCTCAAACAAGAATTTTTTTTTTCTCAGAATGCTAGGAATGGGGGGAGGACAACAGGCTGACCCCCCACCCCCAAAAGAGCTTGTGGGCAGTTGTCCACTGAAGGAAGTGCACTTACTAGCAACAATTCCACTTGCAGTCTGGAAACCCACAGACAGCATGATGGGGATGTGGGGACAGGGTCAGTGATGTGTCAGTTGAGAGAACAGCAAAGACCCATCTCTAGCAGCAGAGGGTTGGCACATGCAAGAGACAGAAATTACTCAGCAGGAAGACCTTCCTGGGATCTACAGATACCCTAAAGGTTCAGAGATGCCCTGGGCTGAGGGGGCCGGAGAGATGGGTCACTGGTTAAGAGTGTAGTGTTCTTTTAGGGGACCTGAGTTCTGTTCCCAGCACCCACATAGGGCTGCTCAGAACTGCCTGGAACTCCAGTTCTAGGGAATCTGACACCTCTGACTTCCACAGGTACTGGCACTAGTGTTCACATGCTCCCACATAGGTTCATACACATAATTAAAAATAAAATAAGTTTTTAAGGGTTGAGGTTGGACTTGGTATTCCTACCTATAGGAAGTGAGCTTGATTGCAGTGCATTGTGTGAAGTTCCCAAATAGTCAATAAAAATATTATGGTGGAAAAAAAGTAATAAATCTTAAAAGAAAGAAAGAGAGAGAGAGAGAGAGAGAAATTATCCTGAGCCTTCTTTGTCCATATCTCCAACACCACCTTCATCTTGGTGCCCTGAGGTCAAGTGAGAGGCTAGAAATCTCTAGAACACTTCCAGGGCTGAGGGGAGCTCTGTAGGTTTCTAGTAGAAGATTGGGATATAGGAGACCTAAGCTGCTATGGCAGCTCGGAAGTCCTCCTGGGTGCCGCAGCCAGGACCCAGCAGGAGAAGCTGGCCTCTTCTGTGGGTAGGAATTCTCATCCCTGGAGAATCTCCCATCCCTGGAGTCTTCATTGCTACAGAGATTCTCAGCTGAGTGGTGGGGCCATTTGAGGATCTCCTGCCCAGCTCCTGTCGCTCACTCAGCATTTGTTGATAGTGCTGCAGCAGAGATGTGGTGGCTGATGCCTGAGGAAGGATGCCCACGGCTGGTATTCCTTCAGGTTGCTTGGGAGACAGGCTCACACAAGCCTTTTAGCCAGGGCAGCAGTCCATCCTGATGTATTCTCCAGTTCATGCTGCTGGATCCTTGCTGTAGATTTTGACATGGAGGTTCAGGGACAAGGAACCCAGTGACTCACTAGCTTCCTCCATCTTGGCAGGTGTTCTGTGTTTGGGTGTCTTTTCCTTAGTGAGCATACATATGTAGCCAGCGAAGCTGGGTCTGGCTCTTGTACCTCAGAAAAGAGATAGGAAATTGGATAAGACTCTTTATTGCTGGAATTACATAGGATAAAATCTTTGAGTTGGACCATTGGTATTTGTGTGTTTAGGTTAATCATGTACTGAGAGGTAGAGGTCAGAATTTGTATAATCCACTTCCTGACGTCCAGAAGATAGAGAGAGTCAGAATTTGGACTTGATGGTGTCAGTGTAGTTCAATTCTTGATTGATTCTGCCTTTTTTTTTGTGGTTGGGTGATGGGGCTGGATGTTTGTTTGTTTGTTTGTTTCTGCTCCATGAATCATGTTTTTTTGCTTCCTTTGTTTCCAGCCAATTTTGAAGGCAGGCGATGAAGTGGATGAGCCAAGCGAAAGGGAGCGGCTGCGAACAGTTCTGAAGAGAATGGGAAAGCTCAGGTGCATGCGTGAGGTAAGAGCCAGGGCTGCAGGTCCTTCTCCCTGAGGTCTCAGGTCTTTTCTGCTGTTCTTTCCTGTTTGTCTTCTTCCCTTGAAGAGTTCTTACTTCTCTGCCCTCTGAGGGTGGCACCTACTTTTCCTTTCTTTAGTGTGAGAAAGATGATTCTCGTGAGCGCATAGTGTGAATAACTCACTGTTGCCACCTAGGTGATACTGGAGTGGGTTTGGTCACAGTCTGGGAAAGAACTTCTGACACAGCATGGGTGTGTGGTTGTACTTTCTCAATGGTCACTGAACTAATTGGCCATCTGCCTCATAGATGGGATTGCCAAATAGAGGAGGGTTGTGCCAATGGGAAATGTTGGTGAGGTCTTGTAAGTCTCATTGTCTTTTTGTGGTTTGTGATGCTTGGTGATTTCTGAGAAATTTAGGAGTCACATGAAACATGGTCCTAACATAGGCTTCTTTCCTTCCTATGTTCAGAGTTGCTCCAGTACCTTCACTAGCATTATGGGATATCTGTATCATGTCAGAAAATGTGGCAAAGAGGCTGCAGAGCTAGAGAAGTTGACCCTGAAATGTCACCACTGTGGAAAACCATACAAGTCAAAGGCTGGGCTTGCATATCACATGAGGTCAGAGCATGGGCCTGTGAGTATTGATTCTTCTCTAGATATTGGGGAAGTATGCTATACCTGGTGCTTTCCCCTGTGTCTTCTGTAGGTCCTTGCTTCCTCATCTGCTCTTGTTTGAAGGCTTTTGTTGCTCCTGTGGGGTGGGGGAGTGAGAAAGTATGATATCTTACCAACACAGCTTGCAAGAAAGTGTTTAACTGGGCTCACAGGTTCAGAAGTTCCTCATGGCAGGGCAGCTGAAAGCTCACTCTTGATCTTCAAATAGAAGTAGAAGGCAGAGAGACAGAGAGCACTAACTGGGAATGACATACCTCCACTAACAAACCCACACCTCCTAATTCCGTTCCCAACAGTCTCATCAGCTGGGGACCAAGTATTCAAACATCAGAGCTCATGGAGGCCCAGTGCACACACACAGACATGCACGTGTGTAAGGTCTGAAGTTGACCTTGAGTGTCTTCCTTGATCACTCTCCACTTACATATCGAGGGGTTTCTTAGCATATAGGTGATATAGGTGGTCCTCTGGGGTGTGGCATATGAATCATTATTATAACAGAGTCTGTTGCTGAATGAACCCAGAGCTCACTGGTTCTGGGTAGTCTAGCTAGCCAGCCTTTGTCTCTTCCTCCTAAGTGCTGAGATTACCAGTGGGCTGCTGTGCCTACCCAGCTTTTATGTGGGTGCTAGAGTTACACACTCCAGGTCTCATGCTTGACAATTACTTTATCCATCGACCATCTACCCAACCCCTAATTATTATATTAACTTTTTCTAGATTTATTTTATGTGCATGACTATTTTCCCTGCACGTATGTCTATGCACTGCATGAGTGCCTAGGACCCACAGAGCTCAGAAGAGGGTGTCATGTGTCCTGGAACTGGAGTTACAGATGGTTGTTAGCTACTGTGAGGGTGCGGGGAATCAAACCCAGGTCCTCTACTAAACTAAAAGTTCTCTCTTAGTTAGAATTTTCTATGGGACTCTGTTTCTATTCATTTTTTTTTTATATTGACTCTTTATTATATTTCCAAGTTGTGTGTGTGTGTGTGTGTGTGTGTGTGTGTGTGTGTGTGTGTGTGTGTG